ATATATATATATATTTATTTATTTAGTTATATATAGTTTGTCTATGCACAAACCCTATCACTCTTCACCCCGCAGACGCTGCACCCCGATATCCTGCGAAAGCAAAAGCCTCAGACCTGGCATCATGTCTTCCTCCCAACATACGGCCGGGCCGAGGCGGACGACGCGCAGCGTTTAAATTACCCTAGTGCCCTACAATAGGTCGATGCGGTTTAGTCCAAAGGATCTCCCAGCTAGGAGTGGAATCGGATTCTCAGAGTAGTGACAGTATAGTGACAACTATCGTCACCGTCATCGTCATCATCACCATCACCTCATAAGCTCAATCTCAACCCTAAACCTGCTCCCCTAGCCCGGAAGCCTATAGAAGGAAAGGCTGCAATCAGCCAGGAAGCAACTGGCCTTGAGGCCCTTATGTCAGTGATCCTGTGTAATTAGTAGTGTTCTGTGGGGGCTCCTACTTGTAGGATTCCATATATTTCTGGATCAAGGATTCGAGGATCCTACTTGTGATCTTAGCAAAGTTTGCAACCGCGTTTTGGGTCCCCGCCTGTGCTCGCTGAGAGCGTCGGCAGCGGCGCTCGCGTCGAAGCCCTCCGGGCCTCGATCTGCGAAAGGAAAGAGAGAGAGAGAGAGAGAGAGAGAGAGAGAGAATTCCCTTGTAAGGCTTGTAAGGGTTTTGTGACGGTTTAGGGTTTAGGGAGTTCCTTTTAGGGCTACTATCAAAGCTGTACGAGGGCCACTTGTGTTCTGATAAGGAAGTTCCCTTTCAGGGTTCTATAAGGCCCACTTTCAAAGTTGTATATGATACTCTACAAGTTCTGTAACAAGCTTTGCAGTTCACGGTTTCCAAACTAGGGTAACCGGCGAAACTCATATAAGGGCCTTCATATTTCAATAGGGTTTGGGGGCTGGAGAGGAACCCTAAAAAAAAGACTTGTTCAAGCTTATATGTTTATATAATGTGTATGTATATATGTATGTATGTATGTATGTATGTATGCATGCATGCATGCATGTATGTATGTATGTATAGATATATTGTCGGACTATGGAGCTTTAACGGTACCTCTCTAGAACGCTTAAGCCCCAAACCAAGAGGATTCCTCAGGCCTGTAACTTGCAACCATAGTTACCAATAGAGTGTATGAGCATTTTTCGCTCTTGTTGCCCGAGGAACCCTTTATATTACCTCTCAAAGGGATTACCTCTCAAAAGGATTGCACTCGTTCTCAAAGCCAGTTTCTAGTCGTCTCGTCGTCGATGCTACCACCGTAACACTATTATGTACCACTCGTCACTCTTGACTCAATAGGCATCCACCCACTACTTCGTCATTCGGGTCATCACCTACCGTTCCGGATAAGGCGATTTGTAGATTGCTTTCAAGTTCGCTGGTGTTCGGCCACCGCACCTGCCGAAGAAGACAAAGCCCTGTGTTTGGCCAAGAGTACTCTTGTAAAAGCCTACAAAAACCATAGCTACTCATACACCGTATTGCGTTACCGTAGATATTCATTCCAACACCTATAGAAGATCGCAAATATTATGAAGTTTCTGCGAATATTCTGAAGCCTAAACCCTCAACGCAAGTAACTATTCCTCTATCACAGCGTAGCTCAGGCTCTCTGCGATTCCGGGGTGCGAGCAAGTTGTCCCTGCTCGGGGTGGCGTGGCGTCGAAGAGCTCGCGAATCTTAGCATCGCATGCAGCTGTTTTCGTTGTAATTACAGGTTCGTGTGTGTGTGTGTCTATATATATATATATGTACACAAGTTCGAATTTACAAGGTCAGGTTAAGAAAACATATGTCATGTAGATGTACATTGCCAGGGTTCAGGGGCGTGGTGTGACTTCGTTAAGGCTACAGCCAAACTTCCACAATACCCCCACGACTCCAAGAGCTACAACTCCAGAACAATACCATTCAAACTGTTTACGAGCCGAAGACCAGTCCCTAGGTCGGCCTGGCAATGCAAAGCCCGGAAGCTTCGCAGACGCTCCACTCTAACCTAAATGCGTAACATTTGGGGAGCATATACCACCGTGTTCCAGGGCGTAAGGAGGTACTCAACCCCAAAAACATTAAAACAAAAACCGTAAACCCACTGCAAACACCCTTTTCAAGCGTAAAAGCCCTAGCATCGGGACCCTGGCCCACTCGTCCACCTCCAGGAGCATGCTGCCGTCCTTTCGGGCCTTCCCGACTGGCGGGCCTGAATTTCTTGTCGGGATCAGGGCTTGCGATGCGCTCATGATCCTGGTTTAACGGAGGCTGGAAAAGAACTAGGATGATTTACCTTGGATACTTCTGCTGCCGAGGTTGGTGCTAACCTCGTTAATACCCAACACCATAGACAAGCTGGCGACCAATGTTTTAGTGTCGTCGCAATTAGCATGATGGCCACAGCAGGCAACAGCAATGGTGGCAAGAAACATCACTGCTGTCAGTCTATCCATGTTCGTTTCCTGTGCTCAGCTCTCTCAGTCTCCCTCTCTCACTCCTTCCCCTTCCCCTCCCTCCTCTTCCCTCTCTCCCTCTCTCCCTCTCTGCCTCTCTCCCCCTCTCGCTCGCTCTCCCTCCCTCCCTTCCTCTGTTTCGCTTGCAGGACCAGGTGACCTGGAGCAAACTTCAGAGACGCCTGCTCCACGTGGTGAGCCAGGCAGCCGAGAAAGAGCTGTCGTCGCTCGCAGATCCAGATATGCCTCCGCTGCAAGCCGGGGATGCATTTCATCCCGCGACAAAGATCCATGGCTGCAAACAGATGGCTATGCTCACACTCCTGTCAGCACTGTTCCCAGCCCCATCAATTCCCTGCCGCCAAATTGCAGGGATGGCAGGCTTCTTCGAGGAGATTGTAAACCTCGGGCACAGATGGCGATAGATCGATTCATGTCGAGAGGAGGAGGCTTCTGCAGCAGCTCTTCAGATTTATGTTTGAAAGAGGTTGGCCTCGAGAAAATGTGTCCTGGAGATTACAGCAGGACTGCCCCTAATGCCTAAGTACACACATAGTCTTAATTAAGAATAGCAAGTAGTAAACCCCAAATCACGAAACCCTAAACCCTAAATCCTAAACACTACATTACGAATTTACGACTAAGTCCTCAGCTCTTGCAGGACGACGGCTGACTTCATGTGCCGGTATATGCGAAAAATGGAAGGGAGCATCCGTGAGGCCCGCCCGATACCTACCCCACTCCAGCCGCTAATTTTGCATTCTTGATTTCGGGAGGCTCTAGATTCCATGAAGTTCAAGTCCTTCGGCATTATCTGTGACGCGAGCCCGAAAGCCAAGATGGATGCCTCTTTGGCTACAATATGCAATAATTACAGGCTGCTGTTTCTTGTCATTGTTCTCTGTAATGTGCCGGCGACCATCGCGAGGTCTGGTTGCCACTCTTTTTCTGGCCTGACACGATTGGGCTGGGGACGCTACAGAGGCTTAGCGCCTTGCTTCCCTCCACCGCATCCTCGAACTCCAAGCTGGAAGCTTGTGGCTTGATTGCCGACAGCCGAACACGCAACGTATTGGGCGAGACCAAGAAGAGCGAGCTTGCCAAAAAGCTGAAGCTTGGTTTGCAATGGTGCAGTTCCCGCCCACTCACGCCGAATGTGCATTGTGAGATTTGTGCACGACTGTTCACACAGACCGAGGCCCAAAGCACTCAACAGCATCAAGCAAGACAAGTTGTCCAGCCGTCAAGAGCTGAAAGCAATGATGTGTGTGATGAGCCAAGTAGGAGTGGATATCGACCAGTGCTGGCCGCAAGATCCCCTGCTTCCACGAGTCCTCGGCAGAGAGGAGAGAAAGACACACCAAGTTGGTTCCGAGAGCCTCTCCTATCTCTATGACAGAGAAACCGGCAAGAGCCGGTGGGATTGTCCGATGCCCGGAGCCGGCCATTTGCGGCTGGTGGTGTGTGCTGACCAGGGCTCTCCCATGCACACATGTTACCAATTCTTAGCACAAGCTGGGGCAAGCATCCACCTGATCCGGGATGAGCTGTTTTTTGGTCGCAGATTTGTTTGCCTAACTCCCGTAACACCAGTAGCCCCGAAACCCCTCAAGGTCCAAAACCTCGATGCAGCCCAGGCACAAGCTGAATGCACATCAGGGAAGAGTGACCTCCTGCAGCCCGGCCGTCTCACGATTCTTGGTTATTATTCAAGAGTGCTCTAATAAGGGTATGGGGCATAAGTCAATAACAAAGGTAATGATATTTATTATTCGAATTACTCGCCAGCAAACCTTCCTGATACCCAGGGATGACAATGCTATGCGGCTGGCTCTTCAGAGCCCGCAAGACCCCGTGGCACACGCAGGGCTTCGGCAACCTTTTGAGCGAGGCTGGGGCCAGGTACATGCAAACAGCACCGCAGCTGCATTGGTCAGAACTGATGGAAACTCTGCTATTCCTACATTATCTAGCATACCTCCAAACAAGGCCAAGCCCGACGACCTCCTCATGCAGATGTTTCAGCGAGATATATTGAAGGAGTGGCTTGTTTTGCACAAGTTACAGGTCACCACTGGGCAAACCCACGCTTAGGTGCGATTTTGCTTCATGATCCAAGCCGAGGAACAATTTGGAGGAGACCTCTGACGAGAAGCTGAACTTCGAGAGGGTCATGGAGATCCTGGGCCAGGTCTGTAAGCCGCTGGAATGCACTTGAGTTGAATCGCTTGGTCCCGTTTCAACTGTGCTGGGCGAGACTATTATCCCAGTCCCTGCTTGATTGATGCAAAAACATTTGAATCATTTAGTTATGATTCAGCGATGACAATAGTATCGATGTGTTGCGAGGTTTAACTCCGAGACCTTTTCATGGTCTCGATGGTGCAGCTTCGCTCACACATCGAAGCGATTTCAGATGAGCTGCACCCTGCTGCTGATTCTGTGGAGTGCTGTTGAGGTCGCAACCTAAAGAACTCTAAGTACCGTGCCTTCATGTCTTGATCAATGATTCAAACTTGACCTTTTCGCGCCTGCATCCCCACTCTACAGATGGAACCGAAGGTGGGCAAGAACCCCTTCAAGTTCGAGGAAGAGACCAGCAAGCCCGGAGCAAACTACGACAAAACGGTCAATACGTGCATGAAGGCTCGTCTTTCAGACTTTAGAGCTGCTATATTATCCTAGTCCTAGCCCATACATCTGCAACCCAAACCAGCAGCATCGGTAAATCGCAGGTGTTGACAAGCGAGGAAATGTTCGGCCTCTTCCGTGTGGCCCGCAACGTTCTCGAGCCCTTCCGGGAGCTGTGCTTGGAGCTTGTGCCTCGCCTGCTACTTCTGAAAAGGCTTCTGTGTGTCTGCACAAACACACTAGTTTAGAGACCCGTCTGTGGAAACTAAGCAAAAAAAGACGAACGCAAAGAATGCCCTCCACGACCACACGCTGAAGATGAACGGCCCAAGTCTGGAAAGAAGCCTGTCTGACTTGGCTGCGACGGCCTTGTGCAGCAGTGGTCTGGGCATGATCCCGGACATTGCGACCGGTGCGACACAGGCTGGGAGTGCAACCGCAAAGCTTTCTAGCTGCTTGACACTAATTCAATGTTTGGGTGTTGCTTTTTTTCATTCGAAGTGGAGCCTAGAGTGAATCGTGGGTCCAATCCAAAGCATTTTTTGGGGCTTGGGCACACGCTCGTGACTTCCATGTGGCTACAGCTGGAAGACCGGCGAACCGCACAACATCTCTTGGCAAGTTAGTATTACTATCCAAGAAATTAGATGTTGAATCGCTAGCACCCGAATCTCAGATCCATCTATCGCTAGCATCACACCTTGCTCACCGCAACAACGAGGGGGGGCACGCATGATAAAGAGGCACAGAGAAAGAGAGAAAGAGAGAGAGAGAGAGAGAGAGAGAACGAACCAACAACAAGATTCAACTCAATTCTCGGCCCCCACTTTCGTCGTTTTCGTTTATCCTAGACAGGTGCTGACTGTGAAGTTTCAGCGGGGTGGGAACGTGCTCCGCGAGGGTTTCGGCATGTTCCTTGCTTCCGTCCACGAAATGGAGCAGTACGCCCTCTACCTCAGGAGTGCTCCGAGCAAAGCGGCCGGCCTCTTGTCGTCCTCGCAGGACACAGAGACGAAAGACAAAATCATCGATGAGATGAGGCAGGAGTGGGAGTTGGTGCAGGCCTTGGAGTCTGTGCCATCCGACTCCGCTGTGTTGAAGGCCAACTGCAACTACTCCTCTTTCCAGTGCTACCGCGAGCTGCTGGCCGGGCTTGAGAAGAGCAAATGGGTCTTGACCGACGACTGCCGTGCCCTCGTTGCCTCCTGGTTCCCGGCCTACTGTTGGTCGGCTGGCATTGAATCGGTGTTTGCAGACATGCAAGACGCATGCAAACGCTCGAGCCGCTCGGACTGTGGCAGCTTGCCGAACTTGCACGCCGTTGGTGTGCGGTGTCTGCAAAACAGACTCTGTGTGCCGGAGGAGGCACCCGACCACCTTCAGTTGGAGCCGGACGACTGGCTCGGCCCGCAAAGCCAGGGGGTGAAGTCGAAAGCCTTCAGCCCTTCCTCTGCACCGGCTTGTTCCGAGGCTATATTGAGCCTTTGGGGGCTAAGAAGTCTGAGATTCCGCAATGAAGCTTTTATTTCGTTTCTCTACTCATATCCGCCATCGGCCCCGCCCGAGGCAGAAACGTGCCCGTGGACAACATCCTGAAGCCGTTCCCCTCGACATCAGCCTTTTTCCACAACCAGCACTGCCTCAACTTCATGTTGGGGCTCCGCAGCTCCCAGAAGCAGCTAGCAAGCACAAGAAGCTGATAATCCATTCTGTCTTTTTATGAGCAATGAGCCGAGGCTTGGAAGGGATCCGAAGGTCGAAGCAGCCGGCTTCTGGATGGGCAGCTGTGTGTCAAATGGGATGCTTTTCAAACACGACAACAAGTTCTACGTGGCAACGGGCAAAACCCCAGGCACGGTGTGCGAGTCTTCGACAGCATTCATTCATGGGAAACTTGGGACGTGCTACACGTGCCATCAATCGATCCCAAGCGAGAGTTTTTCCTGATCTAAGGCACTTCGTTTGATGGAGCTTCCTTACACTTTCTCAGGGCCTCTGCCTGAGCAGAAGGAGGACGAGACACGCATGCCGTGCCTCCTGAAAGAGGCCGAGGATCCTCTTGAGCCCGGGTCGTCTACGCCGGCTCTCACGTTGGCTCTTGGAAGGCGATTGGGGATGGCTTTCTTTTCCAGTTCCAAAGCTTTTGCAAGAACTGTGAATTAAAGGGTTTCATGCTGCAGGGGCATGATCCAGAAGATCAGCTTCCGGTACGAGGAGGCTTCTCGGCAGAACAGCAGTGAGTCCATTTGTCCAAAATCAAGATCGTATTTCATGCAAGGTTTGCTTCTTCAGCTACACTTTGCATGTCTGCGACAGAGCCCTGGAAGCAAAGTGTGGAACGGCTGTGCTGCTGCGGCGAGGGTGTCGCGAGTTCAGCTTGCTGAGCTACTTGGTGCATGCTGAGCTCATTATGTCCTGCACCAATGCTTGCTTGACGGAGCTGCTGCAGAAGCACGACATCACGATGCCAAAGAATGCTTCGAAAGCACACAGAATCAAGCGAATCTTGGATATGGACCATGTCAAAGAAGCTTGTGGAGAGAAGACAATCCAGAAGCTGCTGCTTCTGTTGCAAGAGCAGGAGGCCAAGAAAAAGGGCAAGACTGAAGATGATCAGAATCAGGAAGCCGTCCTTCGTCAGCATAATTAGCAGTCCAGGCCTTCGATATTTGTGGGAGCAGTGTTGAAATCTGAATGGAGAGAGAGAGAGGGAGAGAGCGAGAGAGAGAGAGAGTGAGACAGAGAGGGAGAGAGATTTACGAAATAATCAATGGAAAAGAGAGATGGAGAGCGAAAGCGCGGAAGAGAGACACAACAGGGGAGAAAGAGCATCCGCCATCAAGGCCGAGATTGATTGGGATGAATTGAAAGAAGATCCGGCTGCTGAAGCTTGCAGGGAGCTTCTTGCCAGATTGGACGAAGAGGAGAAAGAGGAGGAGGAAGCAAAAGAGCCAAAAGAGGACCATCGGCTCAGTCATTTTGTTCGGGGTGTGCGAGCCACTTGATTTCGTGAACGACAGGACGCAGAGGGCACAGAAGCAAAGCAGCGGGTCCAGATGAGTGACTCGCAGATCCGCGAGTCCAGAGCGATGCTGTCAAGCACAGCATCTTTGCCGGCCGAGCTCCTGCGAAGATTTCCGATCCCGGAGGGAAGTGCGATGCACCAGACAGTGCATTGCGATGGCACTCTTCCTCATTTCCAAGGACGCCTTTTAGCTGGAGCCTTCTACGAAGGGAAGCATCCGGGCCGCATATTCCTAGAGTAATTTGCAGCCCACCAGCCTTCAAGCAATACTTCCGATGTTTATCCCGTCTCCATTACAAACGGGACGGGCACTCAGGTCTACTCAGGCAGCCAGTTACAACCCGTCGCTACCATTGGATACATTGGATCAGCGGAAAACCACGCTGAAATCGATTACAGCGGTGAGACGCTCTCAGGCGCAAGCGTACTTTATCGTGTGGACGTGGCTTAAACGTGCCACTGACGGCGGAGCTCGATCTGCGAAGCGGCAGAGACGTGAGTAGACGACAGTAGAGGGTTTTTCTTTCGGGGCACAAGTGATGCTGTGGGTCAAAGAAATATGTTCATGCAAAGAGCTTCAATAGGCCTTTCAGCCTTCGGCATCACGGTTCGCAGTTCACGATTCAGCTGACGCTGTGGGGGCCGAGAAAAAGAGTTGAGCGAGCACGAGGACAAGTTGGAGGCAGGCAGGGTCAGCGGGCATGCATTTCCCAACCCTTGACCTAAACCCCTAAACCCTAAACCCCTAAACCCTAAACCCTTAAGCCCTAAACCCTTAAGCCCTAAACCCTAAACCCCTAAACCCTTAACCCCAAAGGTCCTAAACCCAAAGGTCCTAAACCGTACCAGGCAGGCCGGCGAATGATTCCCGCCGAAGGCTCCAGGTTTCCGCCTGTGAGAACTGAGGATTCCGGAACTTCTGTCCGGTACTTAGTAGGGGTTTGGGGTTTGGGGTTTAGGGGTTTAGGGGTTTAGGGTTTAGGGGTTTAGGGGTTTAGGGTTTAGGGTTTAGGGGTTTAGGGTTTAGGGAATCTTTGTGGGGTTACTGTTGATGATGTTTATCCTGCATTACCTTGAGGACCCTAAACTATGGGAATTATGGTATGTTCCTTAGTATGAGTAATGCAGGATTTGTATCATCAACCGTAATACCATCCCTCCTGTAGGAACCCGGCTCTTAAGGGCTTTTAGGGTTATTAGGGTTTACGGTTTAGCGGTTTACGGTTTAGGGCTTTCGGGTTTTAGGGTTTAGGGTTTAGAGTTTTAGGGTTTAGGGTTTTAGGGTTTAGGGTTTAGGGGTTTAGGGTTTAGGGTTTAAGGTTTTAAAGTTTAGGGTTTAGTAGGGTTTAGGGTTTTAGGGTTTAGGGGTCCCGAGCCCTAAACCCTAAACCCTGCGCCTTCAACCCCCGAAACGGTAAAGTCTCCCAGCTACACCTTTCAAGCCCCGTGCGTCGAGCAGGCCGCCGTGCTGGTGGCCTCCTTCGCCACGCGGCTGGGCATCCAACTCCTTCAGGGCGTCGTGAAGGCACGCGGTGGGCTTCACCGGGCTTTATGAGGGTCCCAGAGAGCCCAATACCCTTTAATTAAGGAATATATAGCTTGAATCACAATATGAAGACCCCTATAATTTAAGGTGTATTCCTAATTTAAGGGGTATTGGGCTCTCTGGGGTCTTATTCCTAGGTAGTAATTATTAAGGACCCTTCTGAACCCGACTTATGGCTCTCTTAAAGGGACCTTATTGAGAGGGTCTATATCCCCAAAGGTCCCCCTACTCCTACTTCCTACTTATGAGGGATTTTTGGGTTTAAGGTCATGTGAGGGGTTTAAGGCTTAAGGTCTTATGAGGTGTTTAAGGCTTAGGGTCTCCAGTTGCGTCGTGAAGTGGAGAGAAGGGGGGTTTGTTGAGAGCTGAGGGTTCGGAAGGGAAACGAAGCCCTTAAAGCCCCTACCTGTAAACCCTAAACCCTAAACCCCTAAACCCTAAACCCTAAGTCCGTCAATCCGGACACCTCGGGTTCGTAGTTTTGGGAATCATGGCCCGCCGAAGCTGTCAACTTCAGGGTTTAGACCCCTTGGGTGTGCAAGACTGGACCCCTAAACCCAGAAGCCCTAAACCCTACA